CTAAGGATGTCCCAATACTTTCTGGTGACAATTTTGTTGATTGGAAGGAGAAAATCCTTTTGTTTCTTGGCTGTATGGACCTTGACCTAGCACTCAGGGTGGATGAACCTCCTATTCAAATCTGAACATGAAAAGTGGGAGCGTTCTAATCACTTAAGCTTAATGCTTATGAAATCTTCTGTGAGCAAAAGTATTAGGGGTTCTATTCTTGAAATGGATAAGGTCAAGGATTTCTTGAAAGCTATTAAGGAATAATTTGTCACATCTGACAAGGCTCTTGCCAATACTCTTATAAAGAAACTTTCTAGCATGAAGTATGACGGTTCTAAGGATGTGTGTGAGCACATAATGGAAATGAGATACATTGCTGCCAAGCTAAAGTCCTTAAAAGTTGAAATGTCAGAATCCTTCTTGGTGCACTTTGTGCTAAATTCCCTTTCTCCTAAGTTTAGTCCTTTTAAGATTTCCTATAACACACATAAGGATAACTAGTCAATGAATGAACTTTTGACCAAGTGTGTTCAAGAGGAAGAAAGATTGAAACATGATGAGTTTAATTTTGTTATGCATTTATCTACCCTTTTTGTGCTTAAAATTTAATTTTATGGGTCCTTTGTAACTTAGTCCCACCTTAATTTGCATCAATTTCATTGTTTGTAGGTGAAAATTAAAATATGAATTAATTTTTCAATAAGTGACAATTTGCACATGCTATAGTAACTTAATCATATCTTTTTCTCCAGGCATCAAATTGAGATGATTCTTGAGGCAATAGAAAGCTAAGAAGCAGAGCTACAATTGATATTTCAGAAGCTCAACCCAGTTCAATCAGTATCAATACAGAATTTCAGTTGAATGCATGGGTTTGACAGAAGAAGGCTGAGCAGATTGCAAGAAAAAATAAATGGGCTGTGTTTTCAGGGTGTGGGCTGGTAGCAGACCAGGCCCAAAAAGGTTAAAAAAGCCCTTGTCAAGAGGAAAAAGGAAACAAGTGGAAATATTTTATATATATTGTGCTCTGCGCACAAAAAATTCATGAGAGAAGACGAAGCCGCCCAAAATCTGTTCGCAGACGAGGACCAAAGGGACGCCGCCAGCCAGATCTGCAGAAGGACGCGCACAGCTTCTGTTTTCCTTCTGTCCTCTTGTGTTGCTCTCAAAAATTCTGCAGAGGAGGACGATCCAAACCGAGGCGCAGACGCAGTAGCTTCTGTTTTGTTTCTCTTCCCCGACAGCCTTGCTTAGGAAATCACCACAGCAGCACACCATTGAGGACGCAGTGCAGTTCGGCTTACTCTTCATTGGGACTGGTTCTATCTATTTTTAAATTCGATTTTTATCATGATTTTCTGCTGGGTTTTCCGAATTATGGCTGTCCAGAACTCCATTATGTGTAGCTAGATTCTTTGAACTAGGATGGATTTTAATTTTTGGATTATGTGAATTTTTTTCCTTTAACTCAAGATTATTGATTATTTACCTGATGAGTTTATGTTATTGAGCTTAATGTATTGGGGATTGATTTAGTGATTTATGTATGAATTTGCAAAAAGAAAATTGCATAAGTTAGAGCAATAATGATATAAATCGTGTTTTAAACTACGAGACTGAGAGGTAATTAACTCACATGTAATAGTGGAAGAAGAGGAGGAAGAGGAGGAAGAGGAGGAAGAGAAGAGAGTCAGTAGCTCTTCTTCTTAAGTTAGAGATTTTCATAGGATTTAATACTTATTAGTTTGTTTAAAATTACAAAGCGATATTAGGATAGGATTAGCTTGAGAAGTTGGTTAATTAATTTAGGAAAATCCAATAGTTACATAATTTAGAATTAAATGAAATTTAAGCCTTAATTTTTTCCCATTCATAGTTTCTTTAACTTAGTAATTTCTTTAGTTTAAGTAGTTTTCTTTAACGTTACCCTATTAATTGGTTAATTCAAGTTAGGTTAGATTAATATTAGTCTTACTCATCTTATACTGCATAATCGATTAGATTCACTTGCCTAAAAATAGTGCATATTTGGTGCATCAAAACATGAGAAATTTAGTGAAAAGCAAGAGGTTGCTCATCTTATCACCCAATGAAAGGGAGAAACTTCATTACTTATTATGTTATGCATTATAATCTTATGCATTTATTTTTTATAAATTTTAAGCATTTATTCATCTTCATTCATTTTAACGCATTATATTA